TATATATATATATATATATATATATATATATATATATATATATATATATATATATTCTAGTCAAAATACTCGTTTAAAATAGACATGGGGAAAACCAGAGTCCATGTGGGCCAGATCCAGCACGCGAGCAAATTCAGTCCGGTTTACAAGTCGACCCCCCATGATGACTTGTTAATGAAAATTTCAACCTCTGTCTGTCTTGAAAAGTAAAATCAATGTTAACCGGCCCAGCTGGAAGTATGTAGGAGGAAGCCTAGGCTAGGCCCTATATTTACGAAATGTCCTTAACTGACGTAATATTATGCTTTAGTGGAGGCATGTTAAACAAACACGCGACTTAAGCACACCTGTGGCCTGCACTAAAGTTTCTCACGAGCAGTGTGGCGGGGTTTGGCTTGCTTACCCATCGGGACTTTGAACCAAAAGTTACCACTGCTGACTAAAATCAAGACAAAACATTAACATTTTCGTTGTGATGTGCAAATTAGATTCTAATATTTGTTGTGTGTGGCCCGTAAAATTCATTACTAAGATGTTCCCTTCTTTATTTTCTCTGAACAATTAGAGCTTTAACTTGAAAGTGCTGCAAATTTACTCAAAGAGACGCCAACCACAGATTCTGAATTTTAAGAGAGAGAGAGAGGGAGAGAGAGAGAGAGAGAGAGAGAGAGAGAGAGAGAGAGAGAGAGTAGGTCTAAAGGTTATTTACTTTTCACGATTTCCCAGGAGCCCTGAAACCGATATAGAATCTAAAGAACCTCATTGCTTTAGACGAACACGTTAGATATGCATAGATCTAGCACTAATTATGACTTGTCTCTTTCTGGAGGTTGGTGAAAATATTGTATGTCTTTACCTTTGTCTTTACGACGTAAAGATTACCGCTTAGCAAGGCATGTTTCGAAGTTTTATTGTTGTTGTTTTTCAGAATAACTGCAACAACACAAGCGAGATTGATGTTATACTTTCATTCTTTGTTTTTAAAGAGTTGATAATTCCACAATGAAGACAAAGCCAAAGCTTTAGAAGAAGAAGAACAAGAAGAACAAGAACAAGAAGAACAAGAACAAGAAGAAAAAATAAAAGAAGAAGAAGAAGAAACACACACACACACGCGCACACACACACACACACACACACACACACACACACACACACTATTACTTACTCATTAACTGAAAAACCCTAATTACCCAATGTTATACAATATCAATGCTTACTCATTAACTGAAAAACCCTAATTACCCAATGTTATACAATATCAATAATAGGACAGTTTATGGATGATAGCATGCATGTACATTATCTACTTCAGATGTTTGTCTCCTGTCGTGAACACCCATTTTCACTTTTATGACCGCGGTATTTCACAATGCATGACTTTTCGTGTGAACCTCGATTTATTTATTATAGAGATAAAAGGCTCCTCCAATTATCCGTGTTTACTAGTCTGTACCTCTCAGTATGGGATTTGGGGTCTAATCCTTGTACAATCCGTTTAAGTTTAAGCTTGTTGACCACCTGCCTTTGTGCATCTTTAGTTGGGTGCCGTCAAAGATCCCAACCAGTCGTTCTTGAATTTGGTTGTTTTTAGTTTCAATCTTCTCGAACTATGTGCGGGTAGATCTAGATATTTAGCTCGAATCATAAAGGAGTTGAAATTAAGTTAAACCAAAGGTGACGCCTCTGTATTCTTATACTAAAAAGGGGCCACCTATATTAATCATAGGCCTACCTTGTCAATATCTGCTGTCTACACGTTCGCATTCTGTTTGACAGTATCAATGGTTCAATGGTTGGGCTCTTCTCAGATGAACGCAAAAGACGAGAGTATGATCCCCCTACCCGAGCCGAGCAAATTTGTTTTATCAACGAGTAAAAAATAATATTTGTTTGTATTTACATTTTTCGGTCGGTGTTCCACTCCGATGCATCCCCCCCCCCCCCCCCCCCCCCCCCCCCCGGCAGAGTCAACAGCCTGACAGCCTGCCGCTTCTATAATACTAGTAATTTATAAAGTGCATTGATGGGGATGATCATATAATCTTTTCCATTTCATGTTACAATACTAGATCTACAACCAGTCGCCTTAGTTCAGTTCAAAGAATACGCAATTGAATATCGTTATGTCGAGCTTTTATGCTGGAGAAAGCCAATTTCAATATCAATTATTTGAAAACTCTGTCATGACCAAGGACCTCACAACAAATGGACTCTCTCTCTCTCTCTCTCTCTCTCTCTCTCTCTCTCTCTCTCTCTCTCTCTTCGCGACACCGCGCACAGCACGCCCAGTGGAACACACAAAATGGCGCCAACCATGGTCACCCAGCGCAAACAGCGTTTTTTTTCTTTACAAAGGATATTGTAGGCATGGGCAGTTGGCTACGGTACGGGAGGGAATATGTGCAAAAAAAAGAGGAGTGAATGTGGTGGGGTGGGCCTGGGAGAGCAAGATGGAGAGAGAAAAGGTAAAAGAAAGAGAAATAGAGGGGAAAAATAAAGAGAGAGAGAGAGAGAGAGAGAGAGAGAGAGAGAGAGAGAGAGAGAGAGA